CTGCTGAGGGCTCAGAAGAGGCCTGTGGGGCTGAGGGGAGTGAGGACGACAGGGGCATCGGGCGGGGTGAGGATAGGTGTTGTGTCCGACGTGGTCTCTTCAGCCTCGCTCTCCACGTCCTCCAAGCTCTCGCTGACAGAAGGGATGATCTGCACCACCTTCTCCTGGAAGTGCACTTGCTTGCGTGGGCCTGGAAGAGCCACTGCTTGGGCAGGAGCTGCTGTGGCCAGGCTCTTGTCCTTGTCCCCCTTCAGGATGCTCTTCATGTGGCCCAGCAGCGAGCAGTGCTGCTCCCTCTGGGCCCCGTGGAAGGTGTAGGTCTGCTCAGTATCACCAGCAATGGTTGGGGCTGCCACGGTTGCTGAAGGATCCACGTACTGGCCTGATGTCTCTTTGTGCCTTGGGCTCTTCCTCCTCTTGCTCAGCAAGAAGTAGGCCAGGGCGGTGAGCACCAGCATGGACCCTGGGGAGAAGGTCATGTTAGCTGAGGGTTGGGGCAAAGTGGAGAGCTCACCAAGCAGTGCTTGGTCCAGCTAGCTCAGTGGTCCCTGCAGCTGACCCGCACCCCGCACCTCCCCACCCTCCCTGGTCGCAGACAGACCATGCTCCTCTTCCATCTGCACTACTCCCTACCCCAGCACGGGCTCCTCACCAGGGATAGTGACGTGCCAGACAAGGACAGGATGCAGGAAGCAAGCCACTGATAGCAGTGTGTACCCCAGGAATTTCTGGAAGCTCCCCGGGTGTCTAGCTCTCTTCCAGCAGGCCTGTACCAGGGAGTCAGGCTCATATCTGGGGAGAGAGAAAAGTCCTGGTGGGATGGGGCACCAAGCAAATGGCAAGAAGATTTGGACTTAACAATCACCCATCTAAAGTTCAGATCCTCACTCTAGCTTGCCAGGAAACCACAGTGTTGGTCAGGGATGGTAAGCAAAGCCTGAGCCCCTCCCATGAGTGGAAGATGCCAGGGGCTACATCTGCCAGAGGTCAGCATCTCAGGCCATCTTTCCTTGGTGTGTTTGCCCACCTGGCAACTAGTTGAGTGCCTATTAGCTAGAGTAACACATTGCCTCTAAGCTATCAGGGCTTTTGAGTTTATGCTAAAAGACAGCAGAAGTGCTTAGCCTCTGAGAAGTACATAAGGGTTTTCTGCATTCTAACTTAAACTTCCATGCTGTCTCTGGGAAGGAGCTGCAGCTCACCCTGGGGATCTGGCTCTTCCCTCAACCTTGGTCCATTGTAGGGCTTCATAGGGTGTATTAAGCAGGTGCTGCAGACCAGGGTTTGTCATGCTGATGCTCAGCAAATTATGGCACAAGCCTGGGTTAAAACACTGGTTTAACTGGCTGTGGATGTAGCCCCACTTACCTCCCCCCTGCCTGAGTGCACTTGCCGTGACAGTAGGGGAAGGACCCTTGGTTTGGCACTTGCAGCTCAGCTAGGTCTGGTGCTCCCTGTAAGGGGTAAATTGCCTTAAGGAGGTCCCACCAAGGCTAGAGAAGACTGGACAGGGTCTACTCACGTGAAGCACATCTCCAGGAACAAACTGATAAAGAAGAAGCCTTCACAGACAGTAACTGCAACCCCTGAAAAACTGAAAGGTGGAGCTGTCAGGGGGGCAGGGCTGGGCTTGAGTATGCTCTCCGGAAGGCAGAAGGGGCGTAGAGGGCCAGGGTTTACTATCCAGTTCACAACAGAGTCTGTATGCTAGTGTCTGCACACCCTCTGCTCAGCTGGTTTGTGGAGGAGAGCTCAAAGCCCTTCTGCCCCAGGCAGTCAGCTTGCAGCCGGTGTCACCTCTGGCCTGTCTGGGTCTGCAATAGCATGGGTGATGCAGTAGCATCCCTTTCTCTAACAGAAATAGCTTACTTATCTGAAACCTAGAGATGGACATCTGAATTCCCCAAATCGTTGGACCCTGCTCCCTATTGCTGCTGCAGTCCACTCTGGTGCTACATATCATGGAGGGGTCGACCATGTCATCCCCACCAGCTCTGATTCCATGGGCAAAAATACTCACAGCAGATAGAAAGCCAGGCTTTTGAACTGTCCTCGCTGCAGAGTTTCTACGCCCACACCAATCAGCACTAGAAAGAAAAGGCAGGAAACATGATGTCTGCGGGGTTGGTTCCTGGCTCCGCGGTACCCCACCAGCTCCCAGGATCGATGCCCTGGTTTCCCCGGAGGCTGGAGAGGCTGCTACTCCCATGCTGTGCAGCGCATTAGGACTGCCAGCACCAGTGATTCATGCTGACACACCAACCCAGGGGACTCAGAGCTGAATGCTGGCCTTGACATACAGCGCAGAAACCCACCCCAGCTGTATCCCTGTCATGGCAGCTGTGCCACTGTGTGAGCTGGAGAGAGGTGCTCTGGGGGAGGTGAGCAGAGGTGTCCTGTGTCCTTTCCACCCCCTACCACACAGCTCCATCACAACTGTCACAGGAACTTCCTTCCCACTGCACCATCCACATCTGCCCCCTCCTGGTTTGGGGACCTCTCTGGTCAGGTCCCCCCAGTGCCTGTCAGCCTCACTTCTCTGCCCTCCCGGCTTGCCCAGGCCTGCTGCACCCAACATGTGGCTGCAGGGCAGCAGCAGGACAGGGGATCCATGCCAGCTGCCTTCACAAAGGGTTGTAGCCATGGCATCAAGATCCTTAGCCAGCCAAACAAAAAAACATATAATGGGAGCAGGCAGATTAAAAACAGGGAATGAATGTCCCCGCAGTGCCCCGGCCAGCACAGCACACTGGGGAATCAGTTTAAGGGGGATTAAGAGTATTACTGAGGCTAAAGTCTTCCCTGGACTGGCTATTGGGGGCCAATAGCTTCAGGGGGTGCAAAATTTCCTTCAACACCCTTCAGTTCTCCACAAGACTTTTTCCAAAATGGTGCAAAAATGAAGTGCCTCCCAGCACCTGCAGCACATTGGTTGCTTGGCAGCCAACCGGTCACAGTGGACAAGTGCCCAGTCTCAGGGCCCGGGCAACACTCTAGGCAGTCATTGCACTCCCATTGCACTTCACGGCTCCACATCTCACCGAGCAGTCCCTGCCCATCCACTGGTGCTTACGTGGTTCAGCGCTGGACCTGCTCAATGCATGCTGGCCAAGGCTTGAGGTGCCATTTGGCTTAATTTATCTGAGCTGTGGCTTGGCCCAGCTGGAGGAGGGTACCAGGCTCCCAAACAGGGATGCAGACCAGCACCCATCAAGCCTGCAAGGTGGGTCAATGCCTGAGCACACAACTCTCTCATCCTGGCCAAGCAAAGCCCCACTGGGGTGACTGCAGTCTTGCTTTGGTTCCCCCTGTGTCACCTGCAGCTGCTAGCCCCTGTCAGCTGAGGAACACATGGGGCCCATGGGCCACATTTCTCTGTGGAGGTTGCCTCTCCTGCCCTGAGCAGAGGCAAAGGGAAATCAGTCTCATCACAGGGCTGTGAAGCTGTGTGAGATGTGTAATCCTAAATGCAAAATATTGTCCTTTGCTATCTTGTGTCTGAGAACACTTATAGTCTTCCCTACAAATGTGGAATTCATTAATTCGTTCCCTGTGGATTAATGAAAAATTCATAGAATCATAGAATGGTTTGGGTTGGAAGGGACCTTAAAAATCACGGAGTTTCAAGATCCTGCCATGGGCAGGGACACCCTCCACTAGACCAGGTTGCTCAAAGCCTCATCCAGCCTGGCCTTGAACACCTCCAGGGATGGGGCATCCACAACTTCTCTGGGCAACCTGTTCCAGTGTCTCACCAACCTCACAGTAAAAACTTTGTTCCAATTATCTAATCTAAATCTACCCTCTATCAGCTTAAAACCGTTACACCTCATCCTATCACTGCACTTCCTGACAAAGAGTGTTTCCCCATCTCTCCTGTAGCCCCTTTTAAGTACTGGAAGGCTGGTATAAGGTCTCCCTGGAGCATTCTCTTCTCCAGGCTGAACAACCCCAACTCTCTCAGCCTGTCATCATAGGGGAGGTGCTCCATCCCTCTGACCATCCTCGTGGCCCTCCTCTGGACTCACTCCAACAGGTCCATGTCTTCTTTATTTTGGGGGCCCCAGAGCTGAATGCAGTACTCCAGGTGGGGTCTCATGAGAGCAGCTCAGCCATTACACAGAAGTCTCTGCTCTGGATGGGGAGGTTTACTCATTTTGCACAGCTTCTGCTTTATCCACAAAGCTGTTTGGATGAAGAATCTGCAAGAAGCAAAGGACTGTTTCTGAGGTGTTTGTTTGGACTAGTTGCTGCCTTGATTTGGATCTTATCCAAACCATGTGGCCAAAGGCACATGATGAGGAATTAAATGGTTGAAAGCATGAGAATTAAGGAATAAGTAAGTACTCTCTCCTAGATACAGATATCACAAGGCCTAAAATCTCTGAACTACAGAGATGCCTCAAACACTGCAGTGAATTGCAGGGCTGTTTGATCACTCTTCATGAGGCTCTGCTGACGGCAGGGCTGTCTGGTTTCTCACACGCAAGAAACCCTGTAGCCCCACCATTGCAGACAGCCACCACACTCCCAGATCCTGGGGGAAGGGGAGGTTTATGTTATGTGGGTACCTTCTGTGTTTGCAAGCTGTTCATGGAGCTGGCCGGGCTTTCTCAGAATCAATTAGTGAGACTGATGCACTCCCCTCTCCCTTTCATTTTCTTTTTTTTCTAAACAAAACCCATGGGATTCTCTTCTGCATGGTTTCCATCTCATGCAAAAACCTCACACATCTCATCAGGCACTAAACACTGCATCAAGCTGTTTTCTTACTCCATTGAGACACATAGAGGAATAAAACACAGGCACCTCCCATTCTTCACTGGCCTTTCAGGAAAGTCAGGTGATACTGGGAATGCATCAGAGCTACGGAAAAGCACAGAGAATGGTAGTGCAGCTGTCTACACTCTGCGATACCCAGCAGAGAGACAACTGCACTGCTCATTTCAAGAAGTACAGAAGGAGGTGCAGATGATGCAAAATGATGAAAAGAAAACAAGCGAGGGACAGAGAGATTATATTCCACTAAGACACTTCCAAATTTTAAGCTACTTTCAGTTTTGCCATTCTAGCTTTAGTTTAATCATGGCAACAAGCTCATGTTTTCTCTCAGAAAGGTTTCTTTGCATTTACTTGGAGCTTTAAGGCAGAATATGACCACCGTGGGACTCATGTGGATCCAAGGGGAACAGGGATGGAGAAAGGATGTTTTGTATTTGCCGCTTAAAGCTGTGTTCCAGCTCCTATCTGTTGCAGTTTCATAATGATGTGCACTTATTTACCGGGAGTTTGTATAAACTCTGAGACTCAACTCTTTACCTGTTATCAGTCACCTAAAGAACATTCCAGGGCACAGTCTCCAGAGTCCCAGCTGGGCTTTGGGTGTCCTTGGGGACCTGTGCTCTCTTCAGCTGACCTCTGTGCTTTCTACTTTGCCCCTTACTTGAACAAAGTGTCTCTCATGGCTGTCTGCAGTTGATAAAAGAAATGAGGAGGTAGGAGGACCTCCTGTGACCTACTCTGCAGTGTCTGAATCTGAAATTCCCAGGGGTCTGACACAGGAACCACAGGCACCATCTGTAGTCGTAAGCCACCAGCAGTGCCAGAGTGAACCCCCGAGCCCTCTGTGTTAGCTGTTTCCTCACATCCCATCCAGAGATGCCCAGTGTGAGAGAGTTATTCACAACAGTTCAGTCCTTCTGGGCGAGATGCTGTGGCTGAGACATCCGGCTCAAAACACCTGCATTTCACCTGAAACCAAGCACTCGGATGTGTCACCAAACCCGGAGGACACTGGTCACAAGCAGCCCCTGGCAGCTGGTGAGAGGATGCAGCTAACCAGGTGGGTGAATTTATGGTGTTTGTACTGCAGCTATAAACCTGAACTCCTTCCTGAGCCCACTCCCTGATGGGTTGCTAGAGAGCCAGAGCAGCATTTGCAGCTGTGCCACCATGGCTGGGATCTCTCTGTCCTGCCTGGCACAGGACAGCTCAATGTGGACAGCGCAAGCTGCTCCTCCTTCAGTTCCACATCCCACAGAGCAGCCTGGCAGTTTTGCACAGCCATGAGTATTTTGCTTTTCAGTCTCATTCACTCCTTGCCTGTGCCCCTGTCCATTTTACAAAAATATAATTTAGTTTTGTTTTTCATTTGTGCTTTTCCAGCTTGTCCTCTGCAGTACTGAAAGCTGGCTCTTCCCTTTTGATGTCTCACTGTGCCTCCCACAGTATTTGGGAAGAGCCTGGCCAGGCACACAGCACTCTCCCTCCCTGGGTCTCAAAGCAAAAGTGACTACATTTCCTTGTCCCCTCCTAGGATGGGGCGGCGGCTCCACCTGGAAAAAGGCAGGGAGACAGCTCAGGGGTCCCAAAATCCGCTCAGTGTCTTTCAGCACTGGAGGAAAAATGAGCTTGCTCTTACCTGCTGCGGTGGAGATGCCCAGCAATCGGCAAGTGTACTCCAGGGCACTCCAAAGCGCCTTGTGCCACATGGTGAAGAGATGAAGATTGCAGTTCTGTCCAGGCAGAAGCTCCTCTTCAGAGCACTCGCCTCACGCCTCGCCCAGCAGCGCCCAGCCAGAGGCAGAGCCTCCCGCGCCCAGGACCTAGTGACCTTCCTGCAGGAAAGGGCAGTGTCTGCCGACTGGACACCTCTGCCAGGGCCTTCCACGGGAGGGTGGTCGGAG